ATCCTATGGGACAAGAGAAGCACCAGCTTGTAAGCTATTCCCATAATAAAACTTTGACTTTGAGATAATCATATCATTAAAGTACGCTCGAATTTTCCGGTCCCATTTACTGGTTATGTTCCATACTTACTCATTTCCTCCGTAGTAACTTACACCCATGTTAATAATAGAACTGCTCTGTGCACAAATGTGTGACATTTGGCTGCCATTTTGGTTTTCATCACCTGTACCGTGCTCTCTCACTCAGGTCCTACAAGCTCTGTGCTCACTCTGTTTGGGACGTCAAGGTGGTGCAGTCCGACTGAACCAAGATTTAATCTACAGTACTCTGTTACCCCAAAGAGATTTGCTGCTACAGACAAAGCTGGTTGATCAGTGCGGTTCAATGCGCCCTAATATTTTTGTGGGTATAAAAGAAGTAAGTCTGCGTGATTCATAGCGTATAAATTTTCCGTTGGTAAATTACTACAACTTTTATTATTCTAAGTCTACTCCGTTCTACATGCAAAATTCTAAACACACAAATCGTTTTCCTCTTGTAGGGTGGTTCCATGTATCCTAAATGGTACTTTGAAGTGATCATTGATGCATTGGAGACAGTTACGCACCAACCTGCTCAAATTCGCATCGGCTGGGGAAACACAGAGGGTTACGATGCTCAACCCGGTGGTGGAGCCGGTTGGGGTGCGGCAAGTCTTGGAGACGATCTGTTCAGTTACGCCTTCGACGGACGTTACTTATGGGCCGGCGGTAAGCCTAAACAAGCCAGTATTGGAACGGACGACTCCGTCCCAGAAGAACCAGCAAATGGATTACCCCTGAGAAGCGGTGACATTATCGGATGCCTGTTGGATTTAACCGGACCAGTCATTCAGTTTAATGTTAACGGCCGATTAGTACGAGGTTACTTCCAGGTGAAGTTTAAGCTGCTTGGACTTGAGATAGAATGAACATTTATACTCGCCAACGGCTATCGCCGCTTTTGTTAGATGCAAATATATTCGAGAGAGTGAAATAAATTATTGGTTGCGGAAAGATTTTTGCTGTGTTTCAAACAGCTTTTTCGATCATAAATTATCCTACCCGTCTTCAGGATTTCCAAACTATCGTTGAGCGCGATTGAGAATTTCGTAAGATGAAACCAGGTCGAAGGTTAATTCACTTCTGTCTTGAATGTTCCATTTTGCTAAATGATCTGGTAGTTCATTCTAAATTGCGTACTCTGTTCATTCATTAAGGATATTGGTTTTATTTTAACAAAGCATTATATGGATTAATTTATTTTTAAGCAATGTCAATATCAAGTAAAACCTCCAAAGAAATACTGTAGTTCTTCTGATGACCATTTCAGATGACCAAACCTGTTGGTTTATTCGGTTGACCTTATTTAGCTGATTTCCGATTCACCGTACGGAGAACGGTGTACAGAATGGGCATGAGATCTAGATTCGCAACATCGACAACTTCTCTCACCAATTTGAATTTTTTTATCAAATAAATTAGAAACTGTTGTTCTCTACAGTGTTGTCTGTTCCATTTATGGAGTTTTTCCAACAATTTGAGTTTCATCAATATGTTGTTCGTGTGATTTAAATTGGCCAAACAATTTTAGACCAGGAAAATAATCGAAAGCATTTGGATTCAGCCAACTTACCACTGGGGTGTTTGGACACTTTGTTTGGTCAGTGTCAAATATTAAATTTGTGCATCCTACTTGAACTAACTCATCTAATCACTTTAATTTATGTTGCTAAGTTGTATGTGGCTCAAAAATACTCATTGTTCCATTGCTCAAGTTATGGTTTTTCTTTCTAACTGAATTTGACGTCGATCTACTCTAGAGTTTTAGAAGTTTTGGTCTATGACTTACATCGCGTCATTGAGGATCAGATACCTCCAACGAACTGGCTCTATTTTTCCTCCGTTCACATCTAGGATTTCAACACCACCGGTCTCTTCTATCCGTGCATCAGTATGAATGCGAAAGCCAGCGCCCGTTTCCTGTTAGGTGCAAATCAAGGTCGTTTGAGACACGGGCCGCCACCTGGTTATGCACCAATCTGCGATGCCCGGCAACCAGGTCAACGTTTGCGTCTCGAACCGGTATTTAGTTTCGGTCAGTTGGAAAAATCCGTATTCACCGGACCATTAGCATCTCCTACTCCACAGCAATCGGTCTTTGTTCCGCAAACCGTGAGAACATCACATGTACGTTCTTGAGAGTCAGTTTGTTCGTAGTTTATTGTGCTCGGAGTGAAATAATCGAGATATAATTTCTAGTCTTGACATATCAAGTCGTCCTTAATCGATACTTTTACGTTGTCCTTTTTGTGATAGATCCAGTTGCCAAACAATGTGGAGATCGTGCGGGACCGCTTGGCGGAAAATTTGCATGAAATGTGGTCCATGAGAAAAATTGATCAAGGCTGGAAATACGGCGAGGTAAAGGAATGTACAAAAATGTCGCGTAAACTGAAAAATCAATATATTTGAATAACTCGCATAGATACAGCTACTTTTCACAGCAATTTTTAAGAGATTTCCCTCAATAAAGTACGCATTTCATTCTCAATAGATTATTATAATGACGGTCAAGCTTGAGATATCAGGAAGTAGATTACTATGCACAACATAATACGTGGCTATTTTTTATACTAATTGAGGTCTTCAAGATTTATCAGTTAAAATAAGCTGTGGCCTGACAAAACGTGGTTCCGATGAATGCATTAGTACGCAATGTTTTATGTTTATTGAGAATAAATTTCTTCAATTCGATTTGATTCTGATGTCACTGTCAGCATATTTTAATTTCAGCAATATATATTGATGAAATAGCATGTAATAGCCTAAAAACCGCACTGGACAGCTTTTCCGTTTTTGATGGCAATAATCTACAGTCCTTTCCCTTTGTGTGCCCCGTGCCAAGACTCGACCCCAAATGTTTGGATAGAGGGTCGAAAACCTTACTCCCGAGGCTTGTAGCCAATGGCCAAAACATTACGTAGATGATTACATCAGAAAATGTAGTACACGCTGGTTTCAGCTTTCCTTAAGTCTCGAACAACAGGGTCTTCGTTTTATTGTTTTGGTATAGGATTATATGGGTTTCAACTGCTCTAATTTATATCTCGTTTGTGTGCGATGTGCTTCTAACTATCATTGAGCAAACTAGTTAAAAATAGTGAAAGTAAATCATGCTCAGGTTTCCAGCATTTTGAACTCCTTTAGTTCCTTATTACTGCTCTTCCATCCACTAACTAACATTGCTACTTTATGTGACATTTCACACAGAGGCGTGATGATCAAAATGGTTTGCATCCATGTCTGACCACTTTCGGCAAATTGCCCACTCCGGATCGGCAATACAATGTGACGCTGGCCTATGAAACATTGCGCACAATAGTGGGTCTAGGCTACAACATCACCTACGAGCCTTTGCCTGAAGGTACTCGAATGAAAACAATCAAACTTCCAAATAGGTGCGTAACGTTTACTCAGCTTCTTTGTCATTGTTCCATTTATTGCTTGCCACGAGATCGACTAAATCGGAATATGAATAGATTTAAACCATTGTAATATAAATATACATTTTATTTGTTTGCACTGTGGTATGTACTTAGTGCATCTGACATTGCAAGTAGTTCACACAATGATCAAGGTGGCTTCCCAAGAATATGAACCAATGTTCCGCCCTCAGTTGTACCACGCGTTACTATCCCTGATTTATTGGAAGTGTTGAAATGTCACTTTCTGTTTCTTCACTAAAGGGGACTCAAGACTTATGGTTAGGTACCTTCTACACTTTAAGAGTCAAATTGCTTGAAGCGAATCATTTGCATCACGTTCGTATAGTTTTAATGGGTATTTATTTAGTCAAAAATTATTGGCACCGTCAACATCATTTTTCTGAGATGACTTAATCAAGTAGAAAGGGTATAAGCTTGAAGCAAACGTACTGGGACTTGCCTCTTCTTTATGTACTTTACTTTATATCCCAACCGGAGTTCAATCTTTGTCCTACTTCAGCTTCACGCAAGTAAACGGATACAAGCCGCAACCATTGGACTTGTCCCAGATTCGGCTATCATCTCGATTGGAATCTCTTGTGGATCAACTGGCGGAAAATACCCATAACATGTGGGCTCGTGATCGTATCAGTCTGGGATGGACTTACGGATTTATGGAGGTAAGAAAACATCTCATGAGATAGTGTTTACAACAGCTTCAATCGGTTTGTCTGTTGTTTTTTCTTCACATCCCCCTGCGAACAATAATTTATCATCTGTCTATTTTATCTCGTCACCTAATTTATTTTGTTCTTGCTATCTGCTTTCTTTAGGTCTGATAAAGCATAGAGAAAACTTCAATTTTACAGTACTGGATACAACAAACTGTGGAACAGCCCTAAAACAGTGGTTTTAAATTACGTATGCAGTGCAACCAAGTGTTCAGCTGCATATGCTACACTCATGGAAGAAAAGGGGAAGAAGGTTGCATGTGTGTTATTTCGTCCGCCTCTATGTGCACTCAGTTTTATGTTCTACCTACGAATGTTCTAATTTAAGGAAGAAATTGAACCAGTGCTGCGATTCTACATTCCAACGGTTTTCTGATGTCTCGATTCACAGTAGATTGTCAAATTAAACAAAACAACAGAGTGGCGAACAAGATCGTTTTCAGAGAAAAATCTTGATTTCCGGTCTCACGATGAAATCGTTTTTAGTAATCTGTTTTTATTTTATTTTATTTTCCCATGACAATTTTATTCCCAAGTAGTGATATATATTGAGATGAATTGGCATAAATACAAATCACTGAAAACGAGCTTGTTCGCCACTCTGTTGTTTTGTTTGAAATGTGCTCTATGGGATTATTTCAAAAATTGTCAAATTAGTTACCCATTGTGTCCAAGAATTGAAGACATACTTTTGAACTTCGTTAGTTTCAACCACATCAGTTTAAAAATTTTGAAGATTCATATACGCAGCTCTGATGAACAGCATACATTAAATTAAGTAGTCCGTTTACGGATGTAAACGATTCTCTAAAGTCAATTGTTTTTAGAGATTCGTCCGCTTTGTTATTGCTTCACGTATTGGTTCAGTTTCTGAGAACGGTGTTAGCACTCCTTGAGGGGCCACAACCAGCCAAACAAAAGCCTCGCACAGAACCATATAATCCCGGTGAAACTGAAGACTGGCGCTTCCTCAATATCGTACTAATGGTGTTGCATAGCCTGGCTAAGGAGAATCGACGGTCAACAATTCGTGCTTGGAGAACCCTTCGATACTCACATCCCGAGCTACAATCATTCCATAATTTATCCGACTAATGTGAATGATTGAGATCTAAACGAATGTTGCTACGTTCACGAAGGATGTATTGGCCAGTACTATATTCTCCAAGAGCATTCAGTAAAACTAGTCAAATGCAAAAACATAATTGTACGTGATGCATGAAAAGCTTCAGAATGTTGATTTTTCATGACCAGAGATTTGAAACATTGAGTTCTCTTTATTCATGTCAACAACAAAACGGCCTCATTGCTTTACGTCGGTGATTGAGAAGATCAAACGAAATTTTAAAACCTGGCGATATTTCTCCTTTCTCTGTATTGAAGAGATAGAAGAATTATCAAGATGTGGACGGTGAATAGAGATTCATTCACCCCTGTCAATACCGCTATCAGAGACCATTTTAAAATAAAAAGTTGATAGAATAGATTGTTTTATGAGATTACTTTAAAATGTATATTTTACCTAATTTAATTCGTATTGGAACTTGGACATTTTCTTGTAAATAAGATGCTGAATAAAAGGATGAGCTTGAATTTTCACCACGTAATGTGTTTGTCTTTGCATCTTCCCCCATAAGAGAAGTTCCTGTGCGCATGATTTTTTTGGACGGAACACGTTGTCTGTAGGAAGTACGGTTATATCCAGTCATTCAGTTGATTTACCTGCTATTTAAAGTTTTGAATTTTTTTCAAATAATAATTGCCTAGATGTATGTAAGAAGAGGTGTAAGAAGAGGAATTCAATAGAAGTGAAAGAAGCAAACACATGTTGAACTCATTCATGAATTTATTCCAACGACATTTTATCCTCAGTACTACTGGAAAACTAGAAATCCTTTTAGCTTTGCGAACAGAAATGAAATATTTTTTCATTTTCTCACTCCAAATCATATACCATTTGCTCAACATAGAAATTCATACTTTTGTCTGTGTTGCTGTTCGCAGGACCAAGCGCAAAAGCGGAGCCCTCATTTAGTGCCCTTCCGTGAGGTGGATCCGGTGATCAAACGCTCAAATCGGTAAGTTCAACACATTGAATTTATTTGGTTGCTTTTTTGTTTTTCTTCTTTTATAGAGGCCACCTTCATTGGAACAGAAGAATAGCCTCGTATTATTTGCCATTTATTCACAACAACTTAAGAAAAAAGCTTAGTTCATGTACTGTCCTAATATGATTGTCTTTTTATGCTTGTTTATTTTTCATAAAATCTCGACACTACATTGTTTCCTTATCAGTCCTACGCAAACTGTTAGGTGTTTGATAGTTTGGTACAAAATCAAATGGACAGAAATACAGAAGTGTAAATAGGATATCAATGTACGAAGTCCTCTTTGTAGAAATTACATTAAAAGATGACTATAGCACTATTACACGAGTTAGCTGGTGCATACAGGAATCCGCAGCTTTTCAAACTGAAACAAAAATAACGTTTTTGCCCCTGATATTTGACTGCAACCCTCACCAGCAATCATGCACACGAAAGGAGAACGCAATTAGCAAATGTTAACCTTTACTGCAGATTCCGCTATGACGAGTCAATGGCACAAGACAGGTTTCCTTGCTGTTTTTCCGAATGGACGGTATTGCGCATTTGGTGCCTGGAACGAGAGAGGAAAAATAGAGTTTATTGGTACTATTACTATTGGTCTATTCGAATTCAAAGCCTACACTTTTAATAACTTGTTCGATAGAGCAGCCGTTACCCAAATAGAAAACCTGTGGCCGGTTCTCGTTGTTCCCATGAAAGGTGAAATCATTTTCTGTTTGCTGGAGTGTGTTCCTCAGTAGGACTATTAACTTATACCATCACGAACTTCCACCTTGTTTGTAAGAAAACACTCGATCTTTGCCCCAAAAATCAAACTGATGAGTTTCATAAAGCTCAGTAAAAGCAGAAATGCAATTGCTGTGTACGGCCACTCAGCAAAAATCATCACTGCCAATGAAAATTAAATCATTGAGTGCAAAACTATAAATTTA